GGGGGGGGGGCGGTTGCCGATAGTTGGAACCTGAAGAAGGAGGAAAGTCAGCGTTAGCCGAGCGGTCCGACTGTTTCTACATATAAAGCGGTAATTTTGTGGGTCTGTTTGTATGCCCATTTGTGCGTCCATCCGAAAGTCAAGTAGGGACGCAAGAGTGCGACACGTGAGCGCGGTGGGGAAACAGGTCTAAAATGGGAAGTCAACCGATACTGTTCATAAACGGTAGTGAGCATGTGGTGCACGCATTAGCGTGCGTAGCCCAACTGGTGTATATATAAAGTCTGTCCGTCTATCTGTTTGCACGGAAATTCATAACTCCTGTCCCCATCGACCAAAAAAATTCAAATTTGCTAGGGTTACAGGAAACAGGATGGGAACACATATGATGGGTGGTAGGACCGGACATCGCTCGCAGGGGGCGGGATTTGCGCGGAAATCGACAGTTTGGCCTTAGGGCGTTTCAGCTCGGTAGGGTTACAGACGACAGGTTGGGAACTCTTATAGTGGGTGGCAAGACCAGACCCCGCTCACAAGAAGTGGGGTTCCCCATAGGAGTAGAGGAGGCAGGTTGGGAACACTGACGATGAAAGAGGTCATAAAGAACTAGTTCAAATTCATCATGTTTCATTATAACTGACACAAGCCATATTCTTCTTGAGTCAGTGACATAAGCGGGCGTCTACGAATTACCCTTATACTACTGACTCGAGAAAAAGAATGTGTTTCTTCCGCTTACCTTGCGGGGCTTGCGGCCAGTGAAGCTGCATTGTTCCGCAATTTCGGCTCGTGCATCCTAACTGTACAATAACACTTAATGATTTATGCCTTTTAAAACCGACCACTACCCATTAATTCTCTATACAGCTGCGATTAAGACGATGATTACGCTATTTACAAACTTTTCTCTTGTTTTGAACTAGACATTGTCGTTTGCTTCGTTGAAATTGTCATACCGTTCGAGGCTTCCAGGTGGAACTCTTTATTAAATTAACGGCCTAACGTATCTTCAGAGGCCTCAAGGCAATTCGTCACATTCGTGTTCGAGATTATTTGCAATATCCAACAACTTTTAATTCCTCTTGCGAAATAGCGATAGAGACTAATCGGATACTACGCACTTCATGAAATACAAACCAGGCTTCAACGATGGGCGGATAACCAGCTGTCGCAACAGGCGACTGTTACTAGCGAATGAGACTTCTTAATATCTCCCTTAATAAGGGAGATCACATAACGATGCTACTGACCACGAACCATGGCTCACAGAGCGGACACTCATCTCTGCTGTTTATTTTGGAGTTCCTTCGTTTTTTGGGTAGATTATTAAACACCTCTAATGCCCTCTTGCTGAAAGTTCCGTCTCCTTCGCCAGAATCGTGCACTTCACTTCAGAATCGTCGCCGTTGTACTCCGCAATTTTAGGTCGACCGAGCGCTGTTAAAATGTTTCCGCGCCTCAAACCAGATGTTCCTTTATCGGTATAAGTTTTCGTGTTCCTGATACAAATTGATCCACAAGCCCGACATTCTAGCTGATAGATCACGCTAATAAGCACCTGTCTCAGAGAGAGAACTTGCTACGCGTCAAAGGCAGGCATCGGTTTTCTTGCCTGCTTACAAGCGGATAAAATCATGCTATTGACCAGAAGTAATAGCTGGATGAGTTGATGTAGGGAAATGAAGAGAAGGTCTAAAACGCCATCCTTCGATGCACTGCAGATATGTCGACGTCTGATAAGTTTACGCAGTATTTTAATAAGAATTTTAACGAAGCAAACGACAATGTCGAGTCCAAAACAAGAGGAAATTTGGAAAGTAGCGAATTCGCCGTCCTAACCTCAGTGGGTAGTGATCGGTTTCAAAAAGCATAAATCATTAAATGTTATTGTACCGATAGTATGCATAAGCCGAAATATGCAGCTTCTTTGACGGCAAGTCCCGCAAGGTAAGCGGAAGAAACAGATTCTCTTTCTCGAGTCAGCAGCATAAGGGCAATTCGCAGACGCCCGCTTATGTCACCGACTCGAGAAGAATATGCCTTCTCCGACTTAAGAGTAATGAAACATGATGACTTTGAACTAGTTTTTTCTATCACATTTTCCCAGAGTTTCGTAAAAGCTGATCACAAATTGAACCATTCCATTTACCTGTAATGTGGAAGAACACGGAACGGTTGACCATGTCCAGGGACGATCCAGTCGGCCATACATATGATAAGATTTGCATTTTGACGTTTGATGGCTGAGTCCCAAACGGTCTCCGCGTCCAGAGCGTCACGCTACAAGAAGGCACTCAAATTTAAAAACACATGCGACAGTGACATACATATATATTTCGGAATCAAGTTAGTTTTCACCTTTTCACTCAGCAGTGCCTCGCTCGGTATAAGATCACCGACGATTGCCATTGTTCCGTAACTAGCCACATCGTGGACCAAGACAGAGAGATCTTGCTGCGTATGTCCGGGCGTCTTCCATACTTCGATATGAGGGGAGAGTTTGCGGTAGGGACGCTGAAGGGAAAAATGATGTGCTGAAAACGCTCCTGTCGAGAGAAATGATTCAACTTTCTCATTTGTTCGTGGAATTCCTTATAGGAGCATATGGAAAAGAAAGCGTGTTGATTTTCGTGAAGGCTACTTTTACGAGATCGAAGCTGTAAAACACCACCGATTTCAATGTCTAGTGTTGAAGCGGGATAGGAACTTGGAATTGAGCCCTGAAATGCCCAGAAATTCTATTCCGCAAGGTCCTCGATACTCATTCGTGAGCACAAAGAGTCTGCGATCAGTCTTTGGGTACGTAAGGAATTTACGAATGACAGCGGTTAAACGATGCCAACGTTGCCTTGTTGCAGATGATCGGCTGTTCCTTACAAGTCAGTTGCCACAGACTTGGCTAACCATAATGTTATAATAGCGTTTATATTCACTTAATAATTGTCTAATAGGTCAATTTAAACCCAGAAAGGCGTACTGACAAGCGGCGCGCTATGTATGTGGTCGTACGTTTATGTAATTTTACTCCCGCCATTGCATCTCTCTTACATAAGGAGGGGGAGGGGGGAAGGTCAGGCTCGTGGGGTGCTGTGCATGACGGTAATCGCTCATAGGCTGAATAACAAAGACTCGGCTAATGATAATGTTATAGTGCGCCTAATGAATTTACATTGGTGTGCTATTCCTTCATTGGTCGGCCTTGGATTGCAGAAGGGCCCCAACGCGATGAGTATTCTGGTTTTCTGAAGCAGCAATGCTTCGTCGCACAAAAGAAGAACTAATCTAGTAACATTTACCAGCACTTATCAGTTGTTATTAGTCTTTCTCACTGACCACCCAAAGTCCCGTCAAATTCCACATCACTCGCTAGCTGCCACTATCATCCCAAATAGATCACATGGTTCTTGCCTTCCACAGCTCCTTATCAGCTTTTATAGGCTGTTAGCAGCTCTTTTCACCGAAAATCAACGTTTTCAATACATCCCCGTCCCAAGTGTAAATGTCACACCGTTAAAGGCACCGTTCACGACAAAAAAGTTATTGAGTTCTTACCTTATTAATACTCAGAGGCTCCCATGGGTTGTAGAAGGGACCCAATCTCGACGTCCAGGGCATAGTGGCAGCCCCGTTGTTGCCGTAGTTCGCGTTCCCGCCCCTCGATCGGTTTCACGTTAGACGAGTGTCGAGACAATACAGATTGCTATTATTCCTTCTAGGACCCACGCACAGTCAGCTAATCGCCGAGTGATTAGGCGATGTTTTTCTCCCATTCTTTTTTCCTCTGTTTTTCTTTTTGCTGCCGCGATCCCTTAGTTAATTTCCTACTCCTAGNCCAATCTCGACGTCCAGGGCATAGTGGCAGCCCCGTTGTTGCCGTAGTTCGCGTTCCCGCCCCTCGATCGGTTTCACGTTAGACGAGTGTCGAGACAATACAGATTGCTATTATTCCTTCTAGGACCCACGCACAATCAGCTAATCGCCGAGTGATTAGGCGATGTTTTTCTCCCATTCTTTTTTCCTCTGTTTTTCTTTTTGCTGCCGCGATCCCTTAGTTAATTTCCTACTCCTAGAGGCAGAGAAAGGTGAGCTACTTTTGCTGTTACTAGGATTTTTTTTGTTTATTTATGCTTATAAGTGAATGAATTTTTGCTTACCATTGTCTGTTCTTCGCACCAGGACCCACACACGCGCAGTGAAACACACTGTTTAGCTCGTCCGAACGCCCCACCCTTCTTCATTTTTCTGGTTTCATTCACGTCCAGCCCCCTTTTGACGTTTTTTAGAGGCCTTTTTTCACTACGGAAACACCGATTCATGCAGTTTTTTCACCTTATACGCACTATTCGCGACCTTGTCTTCCATTTTTCATCATAATCTGGATGACCCAAAATTATCGTGAACGGTGCCTTTAACAGTAAGGGCGTTACAGACTCTGCAACTCTTACCGTATATGATTTGTCACCAGCTCCCACCTGTTAATACCCATTCTTGCTATAAACCATTAACCGTTCCCTCACCACATACATCATCTGCCGAAGTGCTAGTGTTCCACTGTTAACACGAAGGACTTGGCGGATTTTGCTACACTTGCCCTATGAGTTCCTTATGGGTCCTTATGATCTGTAATCACTTCCTTGAGCTTACCATCAATTCTCCCACCCTATCGCCTGAATCCCTTTCGAATTTGAGCGCTCTTGGAATAAAGGAAGAGATGTTATACTATGTTTTCGCTTCATTACACACGCCGACACACACCGACAAATCAACAGAAATCCTTAGCGAATCGTATATGATTAGACAGGTTTCCATTGTTATCTATACAATCCTCATTATATTTGTTTTGCGCTAGAAAGATCTCTTACTTCGTTCAGTTCTGTAGGTGTGACATGACGACCAATGTATTCCATCGAGTGGAACAGAATGGGCTTCTGTGCGAAGAAGTTTATGTTGCCCATGTGACCAGGGTGACCATGCGTAATTACCACGCTATTAATCTGGTCGAGTGTCACACCTTCTTTGGACAAACCTGAAAGAAAGTAATTTTGAGATTGAATTACGTCTCGAATGAGCATCAAGATCAAGAGTTTGCTAAAAATTTTTGGGTCACTTAAGGATAAAGATATGGAGTGGCTTATAAGCTAGTGTGGAAAACTACGTGGAGAAATAGATGAGGGTATCGACTACATTCTATGTTTCAAACATTCACTCCCTTCCTTGACATTCACGGTGGCACAGAATCAGGTAAGTTCTACAATGAAGCAAAGTTGTGAATTGGTATCGAAAAGATCTCACCCATGATACAAGTTCAGCCATCTGCGTGAATGGAAACCTTCCTTCCAACACTATACCACAATGGAATTCTTATAATCAGGTATTTCCTATAGTGATTCTTTTTGTTCAAATATCAAATACCAGGCGGATCGCCGGGCTAACGTAGGAATTCCGTCCTTTTTATGACTGTAGCATGTACCGATGTTTGTTCTTATGACTAAAAGTCTCGATCCGTTACTCTTCATCCAAAAATTCACTACCCACTAAAGATCAAAGTGTTAAGCAACCAACGCGTTGACATTGACGCGTTGATACTTACAAACTTTATCGCGTTGGCGGCAGGATTGGACTCACCCCACAAGGGATGGGTTTGCGGGAGCGTAGTGCTGGCACCTATCTTCAGCGTTCCCACAATGTCGCCTATGCTCCTACAAAGTTCCCTACGTGGCGGGTCGTTTGTGGGAATTAACGATTGGGAACTGCAGCATTTAAATTTGCCATGTACAGGATGGATGGAGCAGGATGGTTACACCGATGATAGTTTGCAATACTATACTCTGCTCACGGGGGCGGGCTTTGCGCAAAAGCTGTCAATTTGAACCTAGTGTTCAAATTTGGTAGAAGTTCAAGCAGCAGAATGGGAACGCTTATATCACATGCCTGGACCCCGCTCTCAGGCGGTGCGTTTGCGAAATTGTTTAGCAGAGCTTAGAGCGTTCAAATCATAAAACTTTAATTTGCGGTATGGGAACGTTGATGGCAGGTGAGAGGAAGCAACTGGGCTAGGCTTCACGCGGGGCCCGGGGGTCAGGGAGGGGGAGGGGATGGGCTAGACGGAGTGAGCAGGAGTGTTTGTGTGTTCGGCCGGAAACTCTTCGGCAGTCGCTCTTCTCCCGGAACCGGAGCGCCCAAGTATGAAAGGGGTTCATATGGGGGGGGGGCGACTTTAACTCGCAATTGGTAAAAATTATAAACAAGCTTCTAGAACCTAGCCAAATAGCAGAACAAAATTAAAGAGCACGAAGAGCTGACACGAAGTCATACAAAAAGGAAAATGGAATATAGCAAATAGTACAACATCGAGGCCATATATAAAGCAAAGGCATAGAAGAACAAGTAGCTATGAATGCTCATACTTGAACGAAGCCACTGCCATGTTATGCTTGAACTCAAGCAAAGAATCCGGGATGTTCATTTATTTGTTGACTTTTTGTTAAAGTCTCGCTCCGTTGTTAAGCTTCTGGCTTTTACATATTTTCCAAGCCCGGATAGAATTATTTCGATATGGCCACCCCCGGTTCGAGAATGCGCCGTATAATAAAAGTCAGAGGAACCAAGCGCGTTGCTTTGATACAGAATCTCGCAACCCATACATACATACATACATCGAGTACTTTGTGCCGTGATTCCGAAGTGGATAAATCAAAGCATTTATCACGGATGGACGCTTTCGGAACCCTAGGACGAAAAAAACTCCTTCACCGAAAAAGAGTTTTGCATGCGAATGTTTTTGTACCTGTCCGAGCGTTTCAACGTCCTTTCTTTGAATGAGGTTGAACAAAGCAGCACCACTTTCAACCAAGAGTCGAACATATGATTCATGAGTATTAACAATCAATGGAATGGGTAATCAAGTTCGTAAAAGACAGCTCCTCGAAGATGTGCAATGCACACAATAAGGTCAGTGCACAGTGAGTTCTAAAGTGGTTAGAACGGTCAAGAGTGTTAGTATGGAATAATAGAATAATGAAATGCCTTTATCAATGGACTTTTTTTTTCTCCACGGTGATATAATCAGTCAAACACCTCAGATCATTGGCGGTCGGACAAGCTGGTGAAAATGTAGTTAGGGGGGGGCCACCCATCCGAAGGTGAGTATATCAAGTAATGAACTCAGTCTCACGTGTTAGCCCTTGTTATATCAGCGCTGTATCGGATGCGTAGAGCATGATGGGAATCGACCAGCTTAGCTCTTTTATGCGGTTTCCGCTGAGGAAATTTAGTTTCCCAAATGAGCCTAGGTAGGGTAGGAGCGCCTGGGTGGCTGAGATAATTACCTCCTGCAAAAAAAAAGAAAAAATGAAAGAAAACTTGCCCACCGCGGTGCTCCTTCCCTACGAGAGCCCTTATTTAAAAACTGGTATGTCCGTGATATAACACGACATAACGCGTTTCATTGAGTTCATTTCTTGATATGCCGACATTGTGATAGGTGGTCCCCCCCAACTACATTTTCACCATTTTGTCACAAATGAAATCGTTACAATGGGGCAGCCTTATATTTTATTAACTAACAAGCCTTGCTGAAGTGCGGTCATGATCTAACAGCAGTGAGCCAAAACTTTCATATAATCACAATGTAGAACATTTACCTGGTCCCTAACACTGTACAGTCAGAATAATGAAATGTTTTTATCAATAGATCTTTTCCTCTCCACGGATATATTTTTATAATAGGATTCCCAGACCAATGGCGGTCGGATGAGTTCTGTCGCAACTGATATCGAAAGAAAGTGATATCCTCATCCTTCATTAATTCGCGAGATTTGCTGGATAGTGTTCGTAATCTAATAGCAAGAAAAAAGCAAAATTTTCATCTAATTCTAATGTAGACCTCTTAACCGATCCCCATGACTGCACCTACCACTCATTATTATAATCCCACTCTAGATTACGTGTTATCGAATGAGACATAGTAGAGAATCAAAGTCGCATCGTGAATATCGAAGGCGTTAAGACGTAACTGGTGAGTAGCTTCAGCCCTACAAATCCCTTCATCATTGCTTCCCATGTCAGTTGTTATCAACTACCGTCACAGATTACCTGCGACTCTTCCACATCCTGCGTCACCTATCAAAATGCCAAGGTTCCAGTGTTAACACAAAGGGCTTTACGAATATAGTGGCTCTAGCCTCCTATAGCTTTTTGCCTGCTCTTGTCGCTTGTTATCAGTCCTTCAACAACTCAATTGACTCACCCATTTCGGTACTCCTTCCTTCCTAAAGCTTAGATCAAAAAATGCATGTTCTCAGCTAAGAAACGTTAATGAACACAATTATGGGCTATCCTCCGTATGTTGAAATCATGTTGAAAGAAAGCGGAAGTCTCCCAACTACATTATCACCTCCATTTTTGTAAAGACATCCATAGCACGATGCCGGTACAGATCGAAATCACAGTTTTGAAGTACCCACTTCACTCCACATCACTCGCATCACCAACTTACCCAACAAGTTACTGCCTTGTATTAGGTTGAGTAAAAAGCTTTGATCGACCTTCGCCCCTTTTTTCGTAGGACCGCTCGGAAGGACTTGTAATGGGTTATGGTAGACCGATCCCTAACCTGTATTTTTAGAAGGATATATAAGCATCCCCTTGGAAGTGCTTCGCAAGAATGACTTCAACCTTCAACCGGCTTCCGGAACTGTCTGAGAGCTATNAACCCACCGACGGCTGTCGCAAATATCTATGGTGAATCCAGAAGGGTCATCGTATCACAGCCCACGGGTGCCTCATGACGAAGCACCTCCAAGACTTACAGAGAAGTAGACTATGTCCGAGGAAGGTTTAACTATGTCGTCGGTGGACATTCTCAGGGAATGCTCTACATTGGATAACTTACTGAGGGCTCCACCGTGACCACCGAAATTCCCGCTTTTCAGCTACAGAGTCGACGTTGTTCGAAGGAAGCGTCCGCAGCGTGAAAATGTTCGCCTTTATCACGACAGCGGTCAACCGCATGTTGCGAAATCATTTTGTCAGTAAATTGCCGAACTTAGATGGGCAGTGCTAACCCATTCTACTTATTCGCGAGGTCTCGCTCCGTCTGATTACCATTTGTTTCTTGCTCTGAAACATTACCTCCACGATAGAAATTTTGATGACTGCCCGGAGCTCAAAGATGAGATCTCCAGCTTTTTCGAATCGTGGCCGCCACCCTTCTAGGCTTCAGGAGTCGAGAAACTGCCGGTTTGTTAGACGTATGTTTAGGACAACGATGGAGACTATATTACTAATTGAGATCCTCTTTCAATGGGAATAAGACTTTTTAAAGTGAAGATTGAAAAGCCGATCAAGACTTTTTACTCAACCTATAAGAAGGAAGTGTACGATAGAACACGGTTTCCCATATCACTACCTTTATCGAAATCGTAAGTTTTGCGGACGGACAGACCGACACACCGACAAACTTAGAAGCCGACACACCAAGATTCTGCTTTATAAATGAGAGAGATAACTTGACGGTGGGTAGGTAAATGGAGATGAGTGAGTTCTGCGGAGTGAAGTGAGTAATGTAGAGTGAAGTGGCTACTTCAAAGCTGTGATTTCGATCTGTAATGGCATCGTATTATGTACAGTAGCACTCAAAAGTTCCGGGGAAATGTCTCTTCAGCCGTAACTTTTTTCTTAATGTAGCGAATCGTGCGAAGCACCTGACTGGCATATAAAGTACGAAAGTAGGATATTAGATTCCTTGAAGGGGGACGAAATGGCTGAATATGTTGATCTCGTACTAGCATTAACACAACCGCGGGGCCTGCCGGCGGGCTGCACCATAGTGTGCTTTGGGAAGCGTAGCCCGTCAACGGGCCACGGTAGCATTTTTCCTGAGACGTTCTCGAGAATCTTCATGTGCAGTGAAANAAACGAGAATTGTTCTTTACAACTATAAGAACGAGAAAAAAAGATGCATGTAAGGACATTAATAAGAAAACAAAATCAAGCATTATTCATTAATTAATAACACAGTCCGTTTCTCTTTCGGGCTCCTTTTCTTCCAGTATGTAGGTTGCTCCTAGAGAGAAAAGGTCTGCCGAGAACATTTTGAAGTTAGAATACTACAAGTTTCATCTTATGTTCGCTTGTTCGTTGAGGTGAATACTGGTTGTTAGGCACAAAAGCGTCTTTAAGAATACACGACAGCCTTTTCCGTGCTAAGTCAAAGGAACGGCTTAAGTTTCTGTGGTGGAAGTGTTGAAGAATGTTCCGTCACACTCCGACCAATGAATCCTTTTAGTTTTTTCATATTACAGGAGGGAGGTGGTGTTGTGGCAAGTGGCACACTATCTCACACGCACGGTCAGGGTCCTAGATCCTGGTCAGATCCTAGAGATGCCTGCCTAGGCCAACCGAGCCTTCTAAATGAAGCCTTCCGAATGGAGGTCCCTCTGTCGAGATTGTTTAACGTCAAAACCTTATTTCTCATCTTTATTCTATAACGGCTATGAGATCGCTCGATGAAATTGTTTTGCTCCCATAGCGATGGTTTCCTGATTGAAGTGAAGGAAAGATGAAGAGTCGCCATGCTCTTCCTTTCACTTCAATCAGGAAACCATCGCTACTCTGCATACAGTACGGTTTTCTTCATTTCTTCAGAAGGTATTGACGTTTCGAGACGATTTTTTTCTAGTGCATCGACTGAATGTGTTCCTCATTCCGGAGTTTCTTTTTGGCAGATCCAACCGATATAAACCAGTTACCTTTGCATTGCTATCTGCCACTAGCTAGAAAGATCAAAGAGAAAATCCATATCTTGTGTCTAGACAAAGTTATGTGGGATTTTACTGGGTCTGAATTCTAGACGACACGAAGGAAAGAGAAAATTCAAGAGCAGTTCACAACCTCCTGCGGAACACAGGAAAAAAGTACGTATCATAACTTAGAACGCACGTCCTGTGGACGAATTATCACTTCTTCCATGACATTTTTATCGGACTTGATCTCAAGACGCGGAGGAAAGTTGGGCTGCTCGCGCAGGGTCCACCGGTTAGCCACAGCGGCATCCTACGGAGAACGTTTGCAGTCCCACACGCTAGACACGTTCGAACGCGCGGTGGCGATTAGGCTTAAGCCGCAGTTCACGATAATTTTTGGTATCCGGTGTTTGGAGAATAATGAAAGATACAGTCTAGAATAGTGCAAAATGACGAACTAAGCGCAAAAAACGGTGCATAAAAAGAAGTATAATGGCGCAAAAAACTAGTAAAATGGGAGGTTGGACGAGTTTTAGGCAAAAAATGGCGTGAAAGGAGTGTTTGGGCGNNNNCTTGATGCTCTGACTACGTCTGTGACGCCGCGCTAGAGCGCAGAGATGGTTTTATGCCCAGCTTTCTGTCCGAGATAATATCTCATCCAATTCCGAATCTCCTACCCTAATCTAAAAAATGGCGTGAGAGGAGTGTTTGGGCGACTTGATGTTCTGACTGCGTCTGTGACGCCGCGCTAGAGCGCAGAAATGATTTGATGCCCAGCTTTTTGTCCGAGATAATCATCTCACCCAATTCCGAATCTCCTACCCTGGCGCGGTCCCCATGCACTCTGCGGTCTGGTGTCAGAGATGCAGAGCACGGAAGAGCGCTGGTATCCTCCCGTCTGACGTGATATAGTCGGGGCGGGGAATCCGAACGATCCGGTAACGGGGCTAACACTGTGCCCTAGCTGTTGTATTTTGGACCCGACAGCGTCCTCCCTGTTACCCTTGGGGGCCGCTGGGTATTCCTGAAGGGAGAACCCAGACATCATTTTTATCGTGAACTGTGCCTTTAAGCACTGCGAGGTGTCATTTCTGTGGTTTCAAAATTAATCAGTACTCTCTTACAACAATTGAGGTTTTTCGTTAACAGGATAACTGGTTAGCACTCGATTCACTTTATTGCCTTCTTTCACATGAGAGGCCTTTTGCTGGAGTGAAGAGAGGAGGCAAAAAAAAAAGTTGAGCCACGCTTTTTGAAGCTGAAAGGTTCAACTAAAAGAGTGTGAATGAGAACAGGGTCGAGATGAGAGAACAAAGGAATGGTGAAGACGGAGCGATGAGGAAATTCCGCTAGCTACCAAAATCATCACAAGATTTTACATCATGCAGGTGTTGGTTTCGCAAGTGGGAACGGGGTACGGGACATTCGCCCGTTTGGAAAGGCACGAGGCAAATAGCAGTAAGTTGTCGTAAGGCGCAGCTCAAAGACCATTGGAACAGAGCGTAACATGGAAGATATGTAGTTCGTAACGTGGTTAGCTGACTAACGCGGGCTGGCTTACGGAGGTATAGTCGCTGCGAATTTTTCCCCGACTCATCGGCCACTCTAACCACTGCTTCACCTTACTATTTCTACACTTCCATCAAAGAGGTGTAGATAATACAATTTGATGATCAGTATATTTTGGCTGAACCTACCGTGAAGCAACCGTTCAGTGTCACTTGAGGCGCCAGTATTGACAAGCACGTAGAATCCGTTGTCGTTGATGAGCGTAATAGCGCCAACAGCTTCAGACTGACCATCCTGTGCAGAATATTTGTTAAAAAGATTATATTATCTATTGGACCATATCACGCTGCTCACACGAAGCGTTCGAATGCTACCAGCTTGCAAGACGCTAACTGCTACAGATTTCACTGGAGCCATTGTTGTTGTCCATACTCGGGCCCATAGAGTCGACACTTTCATAGTAGTATTCGCCATAGATGCTGTTGTTGGCCTGAAGTTGAAATTTCGTTTCGCATTCTCGATTCCATTGACTAATTAGCCTTATTAGCTGGGTCAACTGCCTGCCTGATGCAATACTCGCCTCTTCATTCTAGAGAGCTAATTGCTATTGTGAGTTATTACTTATTAATACTAGTGTGAATGTTACAAAAGAAGGTTATAGAAGCAGACTCCTTAACGGGCGTGAAAAGTGTCCTTCGCTTTGAAAAAGATCTGGGTATGAGAAAACGGTCGCAGCTATTTCACTTGGATATAAATTTATCCATCGACACTCTTATTCCTATAAAAGTGGAAAGGAAAACTAAATTTTTTTTAGAAGGGTGGGGCTTCTGAAAGTTGTTCTCAATCACAACCCTCGTGCTCGGCTACGACCAACGTCAGGATATAGGTAGATCACTTGAAGTACACTTCGGAGGCCGAGGGGCACCTTTCGAAACTAAGTAATGGTATTGTTGGCGCAAAATAGTTAATCGGCGTCGAAATCGCATACATCGCGAGACTTTTTCATGGTCAGTGATGAAATCGTAAGAAATTGACACAGTTCCCTCGACCTATCTGTGAACCGAGCATGCAGTTTGTTGCTGAGGAGTGCAGTGTGGCCCAGAATTATTTTTACAAAATTTTGACTGATTAGTATTACACATTGAACTCGGTTACTGGAAAGCTGATGTGTTACCATTGGGAACGATTCCATAATTAACACTGAATTTCATCAAAATCCGGCTAGATAACCCAAGATGGATGGAGTGTGCTGGCTACATCCCATTTCCACAGCGAAGAAGCTCTCCGCTTCACGTTCGTGTTAGGGAGCATTTAGAGGGGAAGACGAGATCGCGGACATCTACTGCCTTAGGTTGCCACAGGCTGGAATCTCATAACGGGGATGATTTTGAGGTCATCGTCGAGGTCGTGGCGCGTGAAACCCAGACAGCCGCGCGCAAAACCCTGGAGGCGTTCTGGATACGGGTCAGGCAACCAAAAATGAACCGGAGGGGAGAATGTGTCTCAACAACGCGGGAACTTACCCCCTATATAAGGTTGGCCTTCCAGCCGGAACCGTAGACTCTGATCAGCCTGGTTCACGCTACTATCGTCGTCCTGGTGGGCTGGCTCTACTGATCTAGAAGGTACGGTTTCAATCGCACTATTAATTACGTGATGACTTATCTGGTCTCGAAGGTCCCGTGGGGGGTGAGACATTTGGTCGAATAAATCATAATTTGGTTTCCACCTTTTTAGGCTCCGAAGAAGGCGAAAATCGCTGAAACGTCAGCCGACTTATTTGTATTACTCAACCTCCTGTTCTGTTTAATAGAATAAAGCTGTATTGGAACTTCTAAGAGGTACTACGAGACTGGTACAAATGCCGACCATCCTCGATCTGTGAAAAACCAAGCACCGCAACGACTACTGCGAACCGAAGAGCTTTGGTACACGACCGCCTTGTACCCTGTCCTTACAAGATCAGAAGTTGCCACGACTTGCGGAGAAAAGTAGGGCCGTCCAGCTTGCAAGACGCCGGACCATCCTTGCGCGGACCACTGTCGGGAAAAACCTCGTAACCGTCTTCTCCGACGAGAAGTGGTTCACCGAGAAGGCAGCGGCGAATGCCCGAAATACGTGGGTGGTAGCCTTATTTCTTGAGCAGGCAGATTACAAGAGAATTGTCTTTCGGACCTGTCAACCTGCCAGTAATAGTATGACCGAGTGTGCGCCAGCGCGAAAGCTCTTCTCGTTTCCTTCGATCCCGGTGTGAAGATCGACACGGTCCACTACAACGAGTACAACTTTTAGATGGAGCTACTGTCTTGCAGTTAGACACACTTCAGAAACCTACATTCTTCGAGCAAGACTTCGCGCCCACACCCAAGTCGTGGAATACTTAGGCTTTTCAACGGTCATTTATCGGCAGGGATGAAGGCAAGCTGTTGGTCGTCATCCCTGCCAGTGAATGGTCGTTGGGATGCTTCTCCGACCTCGACCCATAGGATCACTTGGTCTGGTCGGGGCTCGAGCAGAATGTTGCTCCACTCTCCCCAGAAGCATCGACTCGCTTAGTTATAATATCGGAAGATGCTCGTCTGGGATCTTAGGACGACGCACATGCTCTTCTTACCGTCCTCAGGCGCTGCAATCCGTGGCCTTTCCGAGCTCTCTCGTTTGACTGGACCTGTGAGAGACTCAATACTTTCGATAGCTTTCGTAATCGTAGACACTGCTTCGACAATCACCCTCGGATATTGAGCCTGAGTCAATTCTTCCTTACAGCTCGTGGCGATGGCGGAGAGCTCCTCCACGGTCAGATAGCGAAAGCCGGAGTTTCGTCTCTTTACTGACGGAACAAAGAATCACTGACGTTTCTAGACCCAAAATACACTGAAATCTACCTAATGAACATGCCCCTTCCGCAAGTTTTTTGAGATATAGTTCGCCCACTGGGCCGGAAGAGCGCTGCTGCAGATTCTGCACAGCAGGAGATTCGGTGATATTTGAAAAAGGTGCTGTCAAAGAATCAGACGAAATCATCGAGGTATAGATGAGTTATGAGAAAAAAGGTTCAAGGTGATTTCTTTCGGACCAGTACTGTATATAAACTTATATGTATAAAATGTTTCCAAATATTCGAAATTTTCCTCTTTCTCAAGGAAATTGAAGTTTTACTCCTCATTTACCAACAATACTACTACTAATTCTTGTCAACCGATCCGTCGCAAACGGATCGGTTAATCTGTCGTGGACCGTGGGTTGACTACAAATCAGCGTCAATTTTGTAATATGTTACTTAACATACGGGCATAATTGCATTGTAAACCCTTGTGAACCCTCTACATCAATTGAAAACTTTGTTTCAAGTAATAGGCATGTATGGCACAATCAGGAGCAGAGCATGAAATTGTAATTATTGTGACACCCATCATGAACGATTTTGAATAATTTCAGCCGGGAACGTTTGTTCAAATACGAAATTCCCAAGAAATCCCTACCCTTTCCGGCCATATACTTTATGGGATCAACGTAATTATACAACTTTCACTGCCTCCATCATGTAATACTGATGGTAATACATGCAAAACTTGCAGGTACATGGTTAACGCGATTTTTAAATTCAAATTTCCTGTTAAATTTCATTCAATTCGGTGTACATTCTACGATTACTTCTTACGTTATCTGCGATGTGGCCAGAAGAGGCCACAATCGAATATTCTCTGTTATTATCTAATTGTACGATCAAGTCGGAGCAGTTGATTAAGATTGCATGTTCCGAGGAGTCCGGGTGTGTTCGTTTATGAACTGAAATTTTTGGAGTCGTCATTTAATGGAATGTCTCAAATACAAGTCATACTACACTAATCATAGTGGTCCGCCATGATCCATGTATAACTTTGATAACAGATGGTCTAATCGCCCTCTACCTAACCATTCAGCTAATCGACCTCTACTTGCCATATCTTTCGTTACTGTCGCCTCCTTTCAAGGTGTGCATGAAGCCATACACAACTGGCAGAGTCAAAGAAAGTATTCGTGTTAGGTAATAGTACGACATGATTTACTCCCCTTTACTACTAACAGCTCACATTGCTCTCAAAATATGGACACTTTAATATTTTATTGCAAGATGAACTAATTAAATTCAATGTTATCAACGCTCAAGAATATAAAAATCGCGCGTTCCTTTAAGCTGCACGTATTCCTTCGTTATAACCTTGCCCTTGTATATGATAAGGGTAATAAGGGATGCGATGATAAGGGGACTTACATCTGAACTAGTATATTTTCTTATTCCGATTGCAGCCTTTTGCTGACATTTCTTCTTACTATGATTTTTAAGGCGGAAGCGGTGTAGTGGCAAGTGGCACACTATATAACACGTACGGTCAGGGGTTTGAATCCCGGATCGATGCCCGCCTAGGCCAACCAAGCCTTCCATCTCTCCTGGCTCGGTGAGTTGGTACCAGACACGTCTGGGAGGATAAAAGCACTGACTTGTACATCGGCTGGCCACCGCAAGTCATTGTATAGGCCACATACGCGCTCATTACGCCACTACGATTCTGAATGGAAGTCGAGTGCGGGGGCGCATCCTTTAGACGGGACTGATTAACGCCAAAAAATTTGTCCTTTATCCTTTTTATAATTTTTCATGTACTCAGACACTGCATGGTTTCCCTTGATCACACTGAGAACCCAGTGTATTGGATCTTTGAGCTAGACGCACTTATGCGGCTTGAAAAGGTATTACCTTGCAGACCCGTTGAGTCCAAAAAGATCCATAACAAAAGGACAAATTTGGCCTTGGAGCTGTCATGTTCGCAGGCAGCATGTCAGATACTCCAAGGCTTAGACTCCGATGTTCGTGAAATTGTAGCAGAAATTCAGAAAATTGGAAATATAAGGTTCCGAACATGCCTTTCGAAGACAGAAGGCGGAGGCTATTTTCATAGTGGGGGATTTACAACACTGTTGCGTACGCAGGTATAAATGTGGAGTTTGGAGGCTCAATCTTCAAATGCCCTCGAAATGAAAACGAAAAATCAAAGGAAGTCAGATATTTCAGGAGTGGAATTTGTTGATGATCTTGTTTTCAGTTCTGTCGGAGCAGTTCATCAGAGCTAGCCTAGACGACGGCTTTCGACGGACTAGTCCGACGCGTCTATCTACCACGAATCACTAAAGGTATGTACAAAACGTTCTCAAACATTGTCAATGTCATTAGTGCAATCTGAGGCGTCATTTTCTGAAAAATAAGCTTCGCAAATGATTGTACTCCATCACTCTTCCGCCAGCTTTGTGGTATTGTAGTTGTCATATCCGCAGTATGTACAAGACGTAAATTTGCCGTTAGATTTCGCACCCAATTATTTTCGTATTGATAGAAGCCTAACTCACCAAGTTAGGCTGAAAGGAGGTTGTTTTTACTATGAATGGGACTCTACAGTGATTACGATTGACGAAAAGAGAATATGAATAGGAAGTTGGAGCAGTTACAAGGAGCTGGTACTGTACCGGTTTCTATAGAAAAGATCATAGATTTGAATGAGCCAGTGCCAGAGCCGAACAGTCACATATACTTTTCGTAGGTAGGCTCCTCAATTCAAAAGATGCTGAGAAAGCCACATGAGTCTAATGCCCTCATTAAAAAGTGTAATCAATATTTCGACTCACATGTTTGTTGTGGATGTAGAGGCTGGAGCTTCCGTTGCACTCGCATTGGCATCGGAGATAGAGACTGTGGTTTCTGGTGTCATTCTGTTAGCCACACTTGGCCAAGTACTTCTAGATTGATTATAATGACAGCGGGCATGAGAGGCACCGAATTGTTTTGAAATTTTCAGAATGCTACGAATTCTAGTTAGAGCGCTTTTGATTCTGGAAACTTTTCGAAAGTCAAGCAAGTATCGAAGAGAACATACTTATTTTTGATGTACCACGGAGCTTTCTTTGCTGTAGTGTGCGTACCTATCCAATTCGGTGTTGGAGTTGGTGTGATAGTATTCCAGCTGAGCGGTGGGTGAGCTAAAATGGAGGCAAATATGATCTAGAATGGAGATCTTCCACGGTAATTCATGAAGTCTACGACTTACCTGTGACAGGACGATTTGTCACCGGTCTGAGGCGGTTATCTAGGCAACAAATGGATTTGCCTAATACAAAAGACTGTTGGCATAGGTAACCGACAGGGCAATCATCAATAGAAGAGTGGCGACAGAACGCGAATTCTTTGCCAAGCATAAGTGGTTGTGCAGCGAATGGGCATACTGCAATGACGAGAAGTTTTCGTTGTTGGCAAGATTTCCGGGTCATAGTCACTGGTAAGGGTACTCAAAATAGGAGTAGAAACGAACAAGAACGAATCAAAGTAAATAGCAAAATGTATTTTCTATTTCATTCGATAATTCTCTTCTTATGCAATTTATTTATTTTCCCTGTTCACCTTCACTTTCATTTTTTATCTACTACCAATGGCAAATCGTTTTCGAGGTCCATTTTGTGCAGATTGGCTCATTTGGCTGTCAGCTGCAATGTCCCTCTTGATCTTATTGTTCTCTATGTCGGAGTGCTATTAATTCTAGCTGTATAGGCGGATGTTTTGAAGAGAGAACGTCGTGAACAGAGAGTTGGCGGTAGTTTCGGAACCTCGAGAGGCAGTATCCATCGCTTATGTGGATTTCCATGATCTTTTTTTCGTGCGGAAGAACTACTGTACTTTTTCAATTAGTCCCATCAGAATGCCTTCTGACCTTTTAATGTATGCGTAAGACGAGTGCGTCAGAAGGTGAGAAGGGTTGATTGCGCGAATGCAGCTTATCCAAATACACGAGCCGTGAAGCAGCAGCAGCGTGGTACGGCGCCTCTCAGCTTTGACTCAAATATTTTATCCAAATTTGCATAGCTCGCTGCCGTGCAATGCATTATCACACACCTTGTGTGCTAAGGAAGAGATTTGTGTCCTACTGTGTGAAATACAATTCTATTCACAGTTTAATTCTTCACAAACAAGATTCTCCTGACTATAAAAAAAAACAAAATTGGCCCCTAATTTTTAGGTATGCTGGCATAGACGCCTTCCTGTCACTTTTTTTGACGGGAGTTCGAGCCTTGCCTAGGCACATTGAACTCTATTATCATCAACCTACAAAACCCAACCTTCTCCTGCGGCGTTACCTTCTCTGCAAAGTCGTGTACAAATGATGAAGCTACATTCGTTATTATTTTGACTCACCATCCGAAGTGTTCTTGGAATCCGAACACCTTAAGTTCACTTTACATTAGAGAAAACGAGAGGTATTTTAAAAACTCGTGATAATCGAGCCCTTGTCACTAACTGTGGGTCTACTATGACATTTCTTCCTGAATCGCTAGCCACGACTGTGATTATGCCTTCGTCCCCGTTCCAGCGTATGCTTGTTCAGACGCTTCGCATGCTCACGCGTTGACTTGCTATTTTGCCTTAGGCCAACCCTCTCTCCATCGGCTGATTTCTGATAATCCTATGATAAGAGAGATAGACAATGACCCAGAAGTCTTCTGTCGTCATCTGAGTCTTCCATCTCTCTTCGACCACATAACGTACCGAGTGGGCTTCATTCTTATAGTCGATAAAGTTAGGTCATACCGCACACCATGCCGTGAGGCGCAGTCCACTGCGTTTCCGGGATGGACACATTCAAACCGTACAAAGGTTTTGCGGTTCAAATTATTTTACCGCGCGCGGACATTGGAATCAATTCCGCTGCTGCAGCGGTTCTGCACGTTTCTAGTAGAGAATCTCCTTCAACTCACTATCTTATCGCCCCATTTTCTGATTCCTCCATTTTCTACATGGAAAAAACTCGACACGACTTATTCTGCTCCACTTGGATCTTTCTACGAGCGGGTCTCAGTCATCCCTCAATGGCCGCCTCCTAAGTTGCATTCAAATACCGGCCGCAGTCAAATAATACGAAGAACTAAAGCCTTGCACGGTTCAAACGTAACCATCTCTGAATAGCAGTGAGACGCGCCGCTCGCATTAGAGGGATTTTAACGTACCGTGAGTGTGTGACACCGTAACCCCCTAGCACCCACCAGCCACGCCTGAAGGCTTCACCCGGGGGGCCTTTCCTTTGCGTCGTATATGTGACAGGTGTTTTGGAGGCGCTCCAGCGTGTGTTTGGGTACTGCGTCACACATTCACGGGACGATTAAATCCGTCTTGTCCGCACGCGACGTGTGCAGCGTTCCATCGGCGATAAGAACGGACGTTCTCTGAGTGGTAGCAGCTTCGTCCGAAAAAAAAAAATGGCAAAACTTAGTGACAACACCTACAAAAATCAATAACTTTTTTCCCTTGAATCATTGTAAAAGCCTCTTTACGTATCTCAACACCACTCAATATGTGCGGAAGTTGAGACGCGAGGTGTTGATTTTGAAAAAGAGGATGTTTATTTTTTTACATTTCTGATTGAATGGTAGAGAAGAATTTGAGCGAAAGGCTCGGCCACCGATATTAATGGTGACTAAGATACTGAGGTTTTCCACAGGTATGACTCTGGTCCCTAAGGATAGCACATGGGCCATTGTCGGATCAAGAAACTGCTCAGGTAGAGCGCAATAACAGATCAGAGGTATTGCCCATCATATACCACACCCAGAAGTAGCCATGTTTTAACGGCCTTGTAAGGTTGCTCTCAATAGAGAACAAATGCTAGAAATTCAAAACAACTTCTACAAGAGAAAAACGCCAAAAATTGCTTTCTGCTGTGGATCACGGAAACATCCGCAAGTGACCCATGGCTGCAGTGAAAAGCAATTTCCGGCATACTTTGCTCGCTGCAGAGCCAATTCTTTTAGCACTTGCACACAACTGAGATCTCGTCCTAGTACCTCTTTCATACCGCTCCCGACGCCACAATCTCGTACAACCCCCCTCAGAATCTTTGTATTCGCGAATTCTGCGGATTTTTGCGCTTTCTTCGCCACTGATGCACTATTGTGCACTAAGATTTCCGATGTTCAACCTGAAAAGGTACCTCAAAGTTCTCATAGACTTCGCCTTTTAGTGAGTTCTGTAAGCAAAGACGATAGTATGGTGGCACTATCAGTCAGCTAAATTGAGCCAAAACGCTCCATCGCTTGAGCTCTGGATGTGATTGGCGATGTTCCGGGAAATAGTTTTCAGTTTAAGGATATTTTGAAAGAAAAGCACGCTGGAAAAATAGACCCACAACACAATACAATTTCGAGCCCGACCTGCTTCGTCTAAAGTATTGCCTCAGCTAGCTCGAATGCTACATGTGATTTGTAAAATGAAGTTAACAGTTGCACCAGGACTCGAACTTTTCACATTTGCCAAGTGCTCAAACTCCGTTATACGTTGGTGGAAATCATTCTTAGATGGTCGTATCCTTCAATGCGTCACAAATAATTAAATGTAGTTTACTAAATAGCCAGATCCTGGTGTCGTTTCCCTACCAAAGTTTGTTTACAACGAGTGCGGATTCGACTCTTTCTATGGAGTCTAAGTCTATGCAAACACAAACTAAGAGTTTGCTCCTTTGTCGAGCGGTTAGGTAGACTGAAATGACAACCCATTAGTTTTCTGAACAGCCAGTTGACAACAAATCTCGTTCTCTTGTTCAAAGGATGAGTCCCATTACAGCTACCTAAGTTTTTCTTTGGTGTGGATGACAACTCGTGATCTTGCGAGCAGTGATTCGGTGATTTTAAGCTGGCAGCGATCATTTTGTTGCAGGCCGCTTCGATAGTCTCTATTACGATGCGGTACATGGAGTACTAGACTTATATTAAACGTACCATCTCTAGTTACGGGTGGAATTGCCTTCGGAGAAGTGGTAGATGGAGCCGCCGTCGTAGTTGTTTGAGTTGGTGCACCTCCTCCCAAACCAAAAAGCCTGTAAGTGTCTGGCAGATTGGAAAAGTGTAAAATCTCGAGTGTAGACGTATATGTGTTGTTGTGCTGCAGAAAATATGTCCGTATTAAGTGAATAGTGATGAGTGAAATGAGCGTCGCTAGGTGAGCTTCATCAAAGCGGAATTGTTTATGTTTTTGTTTTTGTCATCTCATACAACCTGCTTGAGGCAAAGCAGTCATTGACATGATACATATCACCAGCTAAAGTTTTTTGGAAGGAAATTTCTCTTTATCGGAGACTAGGAGAAGAAATAAAATTCTTCGTTCCAAACCATAATTTGGCGCGAGTTCAAATCCCAACTTATATGCATTGTTTCGAAGATGTATTTTCAAATGTCGTTCATTGCTGAGCCCAAAATAAGTCGATACAGCAATCGATGCCTTCCTTCAAATTGTGATTCCTTTCCTTCCTCACCACTATTCAAATTTCAAATTTCCATTGCTCTTCGAAACCTCTAGACAATACTTCGGATTCACTACGAAGCCAGTGAATCGGAAAAAGCGATACTGATATGGCGCGAATTCAAGTCAGAGCCTATGGACATTATTCTCTAAAGAGGACTAATTCGTTCATTTTTCTCGCTTTGTGGTATCCCATCAAGCTGAGCTTTTACCTGTACCACCTCAAGAGGATTAAAACGCAGCACATGAAATCAGCGCCTGCTACCCCTTCATTCCTCTACTCGACCTCGCAGTGTATTAAATGCTTACGTGTTGGTACCCCGTACTTTTTTAATCAAAGGAGACTATCAATAGAAAGTTAAACAGATCGCTCTAGATCAGGCAGTGAAGACACGTTTTTAAAACTGTCCCGTGATCGAAAGAAGCCTACCGCAGAATTGCTCCGGCCAGGTCACCATCACCGGTCACTGAGTTTTCGCCGTAAATATTCTTCCGGTTTGCCACTATCCATTGTTTCAGCTGTTCTGTAGTGGCCGGAGTGGACAGCACTTAATCAAAAATTTAGCTTATTTATATGAAATCGAATTGGTTTGTATACCATAGAGATTCTTTAATTAATAATTCATTTGGCAGTTGAAATAGTAGCTGTACTTTTGGACTTCTGTGGTTGGTTCAGCTACTGAATCTTAATGCAATACGTTAGATTCAATCCGGAATTCTGGAATATGTTTCTGTAAGGTCCTCCAAGCATGTAGGTGGAACCAATCGTTTAATAGCATCTTCAGCATCGTTTAACGATTACTGTTTACGGTTTTATAAGCATATGCACTATCGCAACACACATCACTTTTCCACATGCAGGCCTTCTCGGCTTATGCGATGTTTTCGAGTTAGATTCCGAGAATGAAGTTCAGTGAAGAAATGAGCCAAGTTCCAGCAAATTCTGTCAACGAAAACCATACCCATTTGTACATGAATTTGCTACTCA